AAGAGAATAAAATGAGAGCCACAGAGTAGAACAGATTTGTAATAGATAGATATAGATGTAGCTGTAGGTATTTATGTAAAGACAGACATATACATATAACCATCAAAAATCTTGCATCACAGGGAACACACATGTGCATGCGCGCACACACACACACACACACACAAAATCAAAAAAAAAAACAAAAGTCAATAATTATGTGGGGGAAAAAGTGACCAATCTCATCAGTAAGCAACGAGATGCAAATTAAAACCACATGAGACACTAGTTTCCACATACCAGAATGGCTAAAACCTAAAAGCATGACAATATTAATTATTGGCAAGGCTGTAGACCAAAAGAAATTATCTTGCACTACACTGTTAGGTACATTGGTACACTGGCACAACCACAGTGGAAAACAGTTTGACAATGCATGATAATGGATCATACTCTATGACCCAGCAATTCCACTCCTGCATATATATATATATATATATATATACACACACACACACACACACACCTGAAACAAACGCATGCTTATGTGCACCAAGTGACACGTGACAGAATGCTTTGGCAGCATTATTCAGATTAGTCAGAACCTAGAAACAACCAAAATATCTTTCAACAGTAAAAGTATAAATAAACTGTAGTGTTTTCTTACAGGTGAGTACTACGGAGCAATAAAAATGAAGAAACCACAACTGCACACAACATAGATGACTATCATACACATAATACTGAGGAAAATTGTGCCCAAAACAAAAGGTTACATACCAGGTAGTTCCACTGGAATAATTTTAAATGAGGCAAACTAAATCTTGCTGTTAGAAGTCAGATAACTAACTTGCAGGGAGAGTGGGCATAATGATTCGGACTGGCCAAGTAGAAGTTTCTTGGGTGTGAACAGTGTTCTATTTATTTTAATCTGGTTTGGGGGTTTAGCTGTTCACTTCACAGTAACTCACCCACTGTACATTTGTTTGGTGCACCTTACTTTTTTATGTGTTATACTTACCAAAGTAATTTTGAAACTAAATGGATCAGAGACCTCAGGACTGGATTATCTGAGAAAAGGAGACGTACTCCTCCCCTCGGCCCTTTCTTTCTTCTTCTTTGAACAAAGTTAATCGACCAGGAAATGTTTACAGTTTACCCTCAACCATAAGATACTGAGAATACCTATTATGTGCAGTACACTAAGATGGGAACTGCTTGCTGGAGCTAGAAGTATAAAAACGGGAATTATGTTAAAATGGGATTAGAGGTAGATGAAACAGATGAAGGTTCTAAATTAATAATAAGTTGTATACAAAGAGAAAGGGAAAGTTGTTCTTTAGTGAGAATGTCAACAATACAAATTACGGAGATTTTTCCTAGGGAGGGGAAGAAGGAAGAGAGGTTGAGGAGAGGATAGTGAAGAAGGGAGACAGGAAGGAAATAGGGGAAGGAAATGGGGAAGAAAGGTTAAAGATGAGAAGGAGGAAAGGAATGGAGGGAAGAAGGAAAGATGAACCAAAGAAAGGAAAAGACAGAAGAAAGAAACATGGTTAAATGATCCACGCTGGTCACCTGGTATGAGCCAGATATTCACCCACATAATATTTAAACCTCACATCTCAACCTTCTAAGGTAGATACTATCTTTCTTACTTTATAAATGAAGAAGCTGATGCTCTGTTTATTTGATTCAAGGAAACATGCCTAGAAATGTCAACCCCACCTGCACCCAACTCCAAATCCTGTGCTCTAGGAAAACACTTAATTCTCACAAGGAGGATTCCCTTATGGAAAGCAAATACTTCTATTACACTTAGGTCTTGAAGGGAGTCACCCCAGAGGGTGTCTTAGCCTAATAAGAAGAAAATGATTGATTTTCTGAAACTTTAAATCTATAATACTGCAATTCTATGACACTGGGTCAGTTTTAGGAAATACTTATTGATATTACTGGCATCTTCTAATTATGCCCCAGTATTAAGGAGTATTTTATTATTTTATTGTACTTTCTTTATTTGAGACAAGTCTCACTCTGTCACCCAGGCTGGAGAGCGTGGTGTGATTGTGGCTCACTGCAACCTCAAACTCCCAGGCTCAAGCAATCCTCTTGTCTCAGCCTCCCAAGTAGCTGGGACTACAGGCATGCAACACCAAGTCCAGCCTTTTTTTTTTTTTTTTAATTTTTAGTATAAATGATGTCTTGCTTTGTTGCCCAGGCTGCTCTCAAACTCCCGGCCTTAAGCAATCCTCCTGCTTCAGCTCCCAAAATGCTGGGGTTACAGATGTAAGCCACCACGCCTGGCCTGTGAACATGTTAGAAGAACGTAGTGTCTATTTTCTGGAGGGAAACCAGTAGAACACCAGGAGAAGTTCTGTTAAATGACAAAAAATGCTTTATCTTATGGGAGAATGGGCACAAAATTTATTCCATGGCCCAGTTCCTAATATTTGCCAACTGCCAGGAATGCCAAAGATAGCTATATGGGGTGGTATAGAAAATGTCAAGAAAAAACTCAAGATCATTAAGTTATCTGGATTTCTTCAAGCTAACCAGAGAGCAGTAGCAAAGTATCAAAGAGCAAGAGAGACTCTCAGAAGAAAATCATCTCCTTCTAACAAAATTACATGTGAAAAACTGTGGACTTGGTCTCTGCATGTATCACTTTTGGGGTTAAGTCAGAGTACTTGCAAAAAGTATTATTCGTTAATATTTTTTAAAATATTCATTAATATTTTCACTTAAGTTCAAAGTTATTTAGCACTTATTGTGAGTCGAAAGAAAAGCTGAGGGGATGGGAGAAGGAGACGGTAAAAGAGGAATTCACACATATTGAGGATGGGGTAGGAAACATGTCAGGCATTGCAAAGACACTTTATATAGCATAGCTCTGGACATTCATTATAGGTCCAAAAAAGGCATAAAAATTAAACCAAGCTACCTCCAAGAAATAATTAGAAGTGAAAAATTGATAAGGGGAAAATGGCTCAAGTTCTCCTCATTGATTTCCTGTGCACAGAGTCAAACCTGACCGTTGGTTGGAAGTCAGTTTGGCTACTTCTTATTTCTCTTTGAGCAGTTGGGTTCTCCTGTCAGTGCCTTTCATGGTAGAATCGTTTTTTGCTCTAATTACAGCTGTCAGCGATTGAATGAGCTTGACACCCTGACTCCAGAAACGAGGAAATCCACACTCCATGCATATGCAGTGGGTTCCTTCATTAAAGCTGACTGACATATCAGACATGGTGCACTGTCACTGGTTTTTGTAAGAAAAACAAATGGCTACACAATCAAGTAGGAATCTCCTTGATCAGAAACACCCAGAGAGCCCAAGAATCAGTCTTCAACTCGGCCAGTACTTCTCTAAAGACCTATATTTGTATTACTGCAAAATGGTAGCTATAGTCAATCAGGTAAGAGCCAGAACTGTACACACATGCATGCATACACACACAAGCACACACATGCACATGCACACACCAGACTCAGACTCGTTCCCCAAGGCTCTAGCAGCCCTTTCCAAATCAACTTTGTTGGAGTACCAGGTGTTGAGAATCAAGTGGGATTCTTTGGCTATTAATAGTGAACTGGCTTTCCGAGATATACAAATTTCTTGGAGAGAAAAAAAGGAGAGAATTACAGTAATCAGAATCACCCACACCTCAACAAAAATTAGAGCAGAACTACAGCTTCTCAGAGTATTTCTGTAGTTAATATAATAAAATGACAGATTTGGAGTTGAAATGGATCATCGAGTCCAAGCCTGACAATGAATTCAAAACTGTCCCAGAGCATGCCTAACATGGCCCATTCAGAATCCAGTTGACATTCCTAGTACGATGCATGCCTTGTTTAGTGTGAGACTACTTTCTGGAAATGAATGCGCAGAATCGGTATTACAGGAAGTTGTTATGGCATGATCCCTATGAAGATGCATTCCCAACTTACAGCTTGTATTTTGTCATCAATATTTTTCCTCCTCTAACTCCAGCAAGTCATAACACCACTGCAGCCATAAAATCTTCCTGCTGTGCTTCTTCGTACAATAGTGGCTCTTTTCCTCCTAGGCTATAAGGATATTATCAATGTCCCTCAAAAAGTCAAGCGACTTCTGACCATCCCTAACTGATCTTTAATGTGTTTCCTCAATGTGTTTCCTCCAAAAGTTCCTTAAATACCCAACGGAATGCTCTTCTATGGCAATGTATAGAACCTCCAGAACTACTACTTGCAATTTTTTAGTAACTCAGAACTGTTGATATTTACAATGGCAAAAATACAGATCCTAATGGATACTGACAACTAACAGAAATACTGACAAGTAGCAACTCTTCAAGGGAGTTGAGAACAGCAAGAGGGTGCTATAACTAGGTGAGAATATAAAATGTGAAACTGTGTTTACTCTACTGATCTTGGAGTAGACAGATATACATTAACTTTTTTAAGTACATAAGATTGTATTATTTGATTCTCTGATATATTTTTCTTCAATATAAAAACTACTGGGAGGGGAGACAACATTATCTGCCCTGTACAGGGCAGTACTAATGGACGGCCATAGGCAGCTAAGACTATCACCAAACCCCTAGAGCAGCCCAACCCCGGAGTCAGATGGCCCTGTTCCCTGTTTACTTGCTCCAAGGCAAGTATCACACGTGGACATTACTGCTTCCGGCACTTCTTGGTGCATTTTGTCCTTCTCCCTGGCACCTGGTGGGTGGTGAATCAGCAGTTCTTGAACGAATGAGTGGCTATTACATTAATTCGTGCCTCAACGAATGAATGAATGGATGAACACAGACCGGGAGCCTGACCCACTTCCCTCTTCCCTCCCGGGCCCCACCGCCCCAGGCTTGGGCGAACCTCAGGTGAACGCCTGCTCGCCGCTTCCGCGAACCTTCGCCTACGGCGGCCGGGAGGCATCAAGAGCACGGTCAGGGCGGAAAAGCCGATCCGCGAGCACGCAGGCGCGGCCCGAAGCTTCCGGGGGCCACTTCCTCCTTTGTCTCCTAGCTACGGCTGGTAGCGTTGTTGACCTCCCGGGAGTCTGTGCCGCCGGCCTGAGCCCAGAGTTTTGCGGCCTCCGCGATGGTAAATCTAGCGTCTCCGTCTACACCCCGGCGCTCGAAGGACGCCTACCGGCAAGGACCTTCGCTACCCGGCTCCTGGGGCCCCCCAAGGCACGGACGGTCCAGGGGCCGCGGCGGAGACTGGTGGCTCCAGGATTTTCTTGGAGGGGCGAGAGGGAGACCTTGGAAAGGGGGAGGAAGATGTCTAGATGAGTGGAAGCTGTCTTGGGAATTGATTTCGCGGGGGTGGTACATAGGGAGGGGTGATGTTGAGAAAGGAAAGAGAGAGATCGAGAGGATGAAGAATGCTCAGGGGAGTGAGAAATCCGGGGAGCCAGGAAAGTTTCCAAAGACGGGGTGGGAGGCCGAGATGGAAAGGAAAAAAATCAGACCCTTAGAGTGAAGGAAGAGGTGGGACAGGGAAAGCAAGGGAATGCAAGGGTAAGAAGGGAAGATACTGAAAAAGAAGAAAGGGAAATAAAGAAAAAGGAAGTAAGTGATGGGAGACTCGCCCCCCTCCTCCCCCCCCCCAAAAAAAAAGAAGTAAGAAAAAAAAAAGTAGAAACTGTGGAAAGCAAAGGTCGTTGAGAGAGGAATGAAACGGGGATTGGAGATGGAGATTAAGAAATTATACTAGGAGCACTCAGAAGTCATGAGACGAGAAACAACTGGGTGGAGAAATGGAAAGGCCAGGGAAAGAAAAGAAAGGAGTTTGGGAGATAAGTAACAGGGAGAAAGATAAATGAGGACACAGTGGCTTCAAGAAGCTGTGGACATCGTCTTAAAGATTGCCCAAAATGCAGTAAATTATTGATACCCTGTTCAGCGTTTACGGTTTAGTGCAGTGTTTCTCAAAGTGAGATGCAAACATTCGTTGCTACATAAGATGGCCCAGAAATGCTAAATAAGAATGAATCACATCGTGAGAAAGTTATTCCTCTTCCTTTTTGTTCAACCTTCAGACTACATACAGGAGAAAATTTCCGTTACTATTAGGTCCTTAATACCACTGTCATTTGGAAGTTTCCATTTTTCATCTAAAGAGCAGGCCTCAGGCTCAGAGCTTTCATTGCAGTAGAATTTAATGATATGCTGTCTCTTCATTTTGTTCGTTTTGTTTGTTTTACAGTTATTTCTATTTATGAGGAATAACATCAGGTTTCCATCTGTGGTAGTGATATATGGTTTCCTTTTAAAATGCATTTATTTAAACTTTTAGCAGTGAGATAATTTAAAGAATACTTAGATAAATAATATACATGGCATTCATAATGGTAAGAATAATGAATCTAGTATAAAAATGCCTAAAGTTAAGAAAACATTGGCTATGATGCTGAAATAGAGAAAATAAGTGCTCATGCTCATACCAAGTGCAAAGGAAAACTATCTTGAAGTAACATAATGTTCACCTGTGCAATATTGAGGAAAAAAGAATATAGCAAACCCTCATGAAGAGAATTTGCAGAATACTGTTTGAACTCAGAATATCCAGAGATTGCTCAGTCATGAACAATTTGCAGGTTTGGAAAAGATAGTTCTTGACTTTGACTTTTCTAGAGGGGAAGAAAACGTACAATACAGTCTACACATAAGATTCCAAATGAGTTTAAAACACAATAATAGATTCCAGAATAATCATTCATAGTTGAACATTCAGCTTGCACTGATATGGAAGCTATAGTTATCAAGAAAATCCTAGAATCCTGGAATACTTTGTTTTTTATAGAATATCCTTTAAATTTAATCATCTGAACTGATTAGGTCACAGTAATGAAAATAAGATTTCTCAATAAGGAGTACTTTTAGACATAGGGAGGCCATGATATAGCTCTATAAATATCTAAAGCACTATAATGTAGAAAAGGAATTTTCATTTGAATACAGCAGGGTCAATGAATGAAAGATAATCTGGGACAAATTTCCATGCAATGTAAAGAATAATTTTCTAGTAAATGGAAACAGATAAATATGGAGTGAACTCCTGTGAGGCAGTAAGCTGTCTTACTGAGATTTATCAGGATTGTAACCACGAGGTCTTATATAGGTATGTTTATGTGGGACTTGACAATTTCAAAGCTGTCTTTTAAAAATCTGAGATTATCACACTCGGCACCTTAGGTTATGGAGATAGGGGAGTAGGTATCTTTCCAAACGTTATTCTCCTTAGGGTTGGAGTTACCACAGGGCCCTTTTGGTTAATTATCTTCCTGGTCTCTTTCAGGCAGAGGTGGAAGAAACCTTAAAGAGGATCCAGAGCCATAAAGGGGTTATTGGAACTATGGTTGTAAATGCAGAAGGTAAATATATCACAGGCTATCTTCTTGACATGCAGAAGCCAACCAGGAACCTGTTTGCTGTGTTAGTCCATATATATATATAAAAAACACTCTGCTAAGATCTGGGGACATAAATATGAAGAAGACATGTCTAAAAATGTCTATATACTCCTAAGAAGCACTATACATTTGTTTACTTTTTAAAGCTTTGGTAATTCTCTTCCAATATTTCAGAAGTGCCAAAAAAACTGTCATATAGAAGATAGGGAGAGTATCATTGATGGTAGTTTGTTTTTGTTTCAACATTATTAACCATACAGAATTTCAGTCTTTATTTTAAGTGGAACGTGTTCCTTGAACATATTTTATTTAAAAATCTTTGAGAATTAATGGTATCATTTATAATGTACTCTTTGTGGATGTAGTATAAGAAGAGCCTATACATTTCCAACTATGAAATCTGTACACTTACCAAAAACTTGCTCTTGCTGCACAATCCTTGTTAAGAATCCACATCGCATTTACTTTGGCATGTTACTTTGGCACATTACTTTGGCACATTGCTCCATGCTCAGCTATGGTGGCAACCTCTTAAGAGTTCCTGCTGGTTTCATTGCTAATTCAGACACTTGTAAGGACAAGGGGTGCCAGAAATTCCAGAGCATTAGTTAAAATAAGAGTAGCTACTTTACATAATGTGTGGTGCAACCATGGAATTGGTCCATTACCAACTCAGTGCCTTGGAAAAATCCATCAGTAAATACTTACTGAGCAACTACCAACTGAAAGTCTGCTTAAATTCTGAACTACAACTCCTTACCACTAAGAATGCACAATAACCTATTTTACTGGTGGTTTTGATCATTAAATGAGACAATAATTGTTGAGTGCTTGGCATAATACCCAACACTTAATAGTAATTAAATAGTTATGAAAATGTCGGGATTTTTAATTCATTTATACAGATAAAGCATTTGATTTGTTTTATAACCAGTAACTCAAGGCCAAATGAATGAGAGAGATAATAGAACATAATAAATTTTCGAGCTTGAATAATCAGGGGAAGAGAAGATTTAAGATCTGCCTTACAGGTAAGTCAAGAACTATGCAGAATATTTCCAGGAAGCATTTCAGCCCTAGTACATGGATCTGGTTGCATTGATTTTATTTCCAGGTATTTGCATACACTCTGCCATGGCTCCGAAGATGAGCTGTCCATGTGATTTCATAGAGGTGGTTCATTAGTTTCCTTTGGCTGCAGTAACAAACTACAACACGCCTGGTAACTTAAAACAACAGAAACGTATTCTATTCCAGTTCTGGAGGTTAGAAGTTGAAATCAGGATATCCGCAGGCTCATGCTTCCTCTGAAGACACTATGGAAGGATCATTCCTTACCTCTTCCTAGCTTCTGGTAGTTGTCAATCTTTAGTGTTCCTTGGCCTATAGACACATCACTCCAATCTCCACCTCCATCATGATGTGGCATTCTCATCTTTGTGTCTCTTGTCTGTTTCATTATAAGAACCCCAGTTATTGGATTAGGGCCTACGTGAATCCAGTGTGACCTCATCTTAACTAATTACATCTGCAAAGACCCTGTTTCCAAATAAGGCCACCTTCTGAGGTTTATATTGGACTTGAATTTGGGGATCTGGGGGGTCTAGGGAGACACTCTTCAACCCTGTACAGGTACATTCACCTGTGACTCCCAGAACCACTCATCTAATGTTATTCTTTGGAAGATCTTGGTCTAAAGTAGGTAATCCTGGTGATATGCGCCAAACATCTGAAAAATATTCACCCCCTTTGATCTACAATTTTACTCCTAGCAATTTATCCTAAAGAGTGATGATGAAAATATTTAGGTATGAGGATACTCACTGAGGCATCATATGTAATAGCAATAAATAAATAAATAGAACAAGTAAGTAAATAAATGTATCCTAACAGTGCAGGAATTTTTAAAGTAACTATATAATATTTACTTGATGAACATTACTCTATTTAAAAGGTTGAAGACTATTTAGGGTCTTGGGAAACTACTCACAGTATTAGATGAAAAAAGCAGAGAACAAAGCGGTCACCAGCGCGTTCTAATCCTATCTATGGTCAGGTGCACACATACACTTCAAATAAATAGAGAAGGAAGAGTAGGGATATGTTACAGTGATCACCCTGAGTAGTGAGACGAAAAGTGATTTTCACTTTATTTTCCTGAGGTTCCTCAATTAACACTTCTCTTATCTGAAGGCAACAAAATATTATTTTCAATACCCATTAACTTCTAATTAACCTCTACTAGGATAAGTTTATATTAGAATTCAGGACACTTTTCAAGGTTTCTGGGTACTTAAGAGTTTTTACCTGAAAGCCAAATTAACCTGTTTTCCCTAAAATATAAATAAGGGGCTTATTTTTATGGTTGGATTATTAATAACCAGAGTATATGACAAGGATGTTTATTAATGGCATATGGTGTAAACTATGTGTCCAGAATGTAATAAAATACTCAGTTTCAACAACCTACTCAATTTTAGATGAAAGCGTCATTTATTACAGTGTAGCTTTGTAGCTTTTCAGCTTTGGGAAGTCCCATGAAATTTAATACCAAAATATTTAGCTAAGATGATGTTTTATGTATTACTGTTTTCTACTAGCAGTTGTGGTCTACTAATTCTAGGCAAATCATTTTAGCATTTTCAGATTATATTTGTGGTTAGGTCAGAGTTCTACCATGCTTATTCATTTAGATATCATCATATGCCATGTTAAATATAGTCCTTCGGTTTCACTGTTACTAAAACGTAGACTTCCTATTGAAGACAGTAAAGTAGTCTTCCCAGTTTAGCCCAATGCTACATATTTTAATTAGAGTAGATTTTTGTTAGCATTGGTTTCTCATTTATAAAACCATTCATTGTTTATAATATTGCAACACTGATCACTGAATTAGATACTGGCAAATATGTATGTTTGTCCCCCAGGCAGTCAGATCTGTCATATTTTCTTATGTACATAAGTCTGATTTCTACAGGCTCTTAATTTTAAATATTCCTGACATTTCTAACAATCTATCATTTGAGTTTCATTAGATTGTAACAGCCATCCAGCCAATTCCTTTTATTTTGAAATACAATCTATCAACCAAAGCACAAATGTGCAGTTGAAGATGACAAATAGAAATAACGGGTGCTGGCTTACTAGGATCATAGAGAGTAGTAAAGTAGTGCCATCAAATTTTAGAATACATATGCTCTTTGTTCTAGGAGCTTCATTTTAGGAAATTATCCTACACATATATACAAATGTGAAATTAGATGACCAAGGACATATTAAGTAGCCTTGTTTACAAAAGTCAAAGATTGAGAACAGCCTAAATGCTCATCAGTAGGACATATTAAGTATATTACAAAACATCTATTCAACAAGACTATTATTCAGTCACTAATATGTGTGACTTACGTGTACAGAATCAGACAATTTCCAAAGAGTATTAAATTTAAAAATCAAGGTACGAAATAGAGAATGGTATCATTAAAATGAAAATTACAAACACAAACACATACATTCTTGAATAGACCTAGAATGTCTCTAGAAGGCTCTAAGAAACCAGTAGTTGTTTCTCAGAAGGGAAGTGGGTAAATTTTATACCATATGCTAAAATTACTTCTCAATAAATTATTTTTTAATTACCTCACATGGTGCCAAGCAAGAGTTCAATAAATATTTGTTGATTGATTTTTTCCAAGTGTGTATGGCAGATATGAAAAACTCCACGTGTTTCCACTGTGCACACTTATTATTCAAAAAGGCTAGCTGTTTTATTTATTGACTTGGATCATGAACAGACTAACTAAATAGACCTGAGCATCTGATTCATAATCCTGTCACCTACATTTTAAATAATTTATTCTGGTTGTATTTCTTGTTTTGCTACTGAGCATTGCACCCTTAGTAGGTAGTCACTACTTAGGATGCAAAATAAAACTCGTCAAAAAGTTCCCATCAAAGGTTGCGTGTTGCCACATTTCCATTTCCTGCTTGTTAAAGATCCATGCTTTGTGACCTTCAGGTATGCAAGACAGCTGACTGCCTTCCAGGGAAAGAGTGGCCAGCAAATCATACTAAAAGATTAGCAAGGTTTTTATGATGCTTTATTTATTGAATAGGTTTTCCTGTAAATATTATCCTCATACTGTTTAGCAAAACATTCTGGACACAGCAGTTATCTTAAAAGAAAGAGAAATCAGTCTTTTCAAAGTCAAAATTGATGGTCTTCAAGATTTTTATGAAAACCTGGTAAACTCCTAAGTTTGTAACACTCTTCTACTCTTGAAAGTGCTCTTCTTGTTTAATGGTTTCTGGAGCTACATTCTCTGAAGGAAACCAGGAGCCATGTTAGGCTCATTCTTGAGTGCCCTTAATACAGATACCTAAGGAATTTGATAGCGATCCCAAATTCACCTTCATATCTCCTCCTAAAATAAAAGCACATTGCAAATCAAATCCCTGGAATTCTCTGGCTATCTAGTTCTTCTCAAAATAATCTGAAGGCGGCTGGGCGCAGTGGCTCAAGCCTGTAATCCCAGCACTTTGGGAGGCCGAGACGGGCGGATCATGAGTCAGGAGATGGAGACCATCCTGGCTAACACGGTGAAACCCCGTCTCTAATTAAAAAATACAAAAAACTAGCCGGGCATGGTGGCGGGCGCCTGTAGTCCCAGCTACTCAGGAGGCTGAGGCAGGAGAATGGCGTAAACCCAGGAGGCGGAGCTTGCAGTGAGCTGAGACCCGGCCACTGCACTCCAGCCTGGGCGAAAAGGCGAGACTCCATCTCAAAAAAATAATAATAATAATATGAAGGCTATCTCTCATTAGATACAATATATGTAAAATACCTACCACAGTGCCTGGTACATAATAGGCATTAATGCTGGGTGTTCCAAGTTGAGTTAGATTGATTTCAACTGAATTGAATTACACTTGCATATTCTTCTGGCTAGAATTTTCCAGTTAATAGTTTCTGTTTTAAACTTGTGTAACAGAACAATAGAGCATGCTGGGCATGGTGGCTCACGCCTGTAATCCCAGCACTTTGGGAGACATGAGGCGGGTGGATCACCTGAGGTCAGGAGTTCAGCCTAGCCAACATGGTGAAACCCTGTCTCTACTAAAAATACAGCAATTAGCCAGGCGTGGTGGTGGGTGCCTGCAGTCTCAGCTACTCCAGCTACTCGGGAAGCTGAGGGAGGAGAATTGCTGGAACCCAGGAGGCGGAGGTTGCAGTGAGCCGAGATCCTGCCGTTGCACTCCAGCCTGGGCCTAGGACAGCGAGACTCCGTCTCAAAACAAACAAACAAACAATGGAGCACACAAGTAGCCAAATTTAATAGTGTTTACACCAAAAATGAGTGCAAACCAGGGAATGCACAGCAAAACTACAATATCCTTATTACCACATTTTCTTTTTTTTCAATCAATGTTGACCAGGTTGGCCTCGAACATGTAGCCTCGCCTCCCCGAGTGCCAGAGCAACCGGCCTGAGCCACCGTGGCTCCTATTACCACATTTTCTAACATAAAATTTAAGGTTTGCAAAATACTGTATGAGGAGTCCCTTTTGATGTACCGCCTAGCATGTGTGGTGATATCCCTTTATGTTTCTGGCCTCAGGGAAGAAGACTAACACCATGTCACAGATCAAGCACTTCAAAGCAGACTCACTGTAGACAAGATATTCGGGGGAGTGCGTTTCATCTAGAAATATGTTAACTTAGTACTCAAGTAGTCAGTTAACAGCTTCTGAAAGATTTATGCACAAAAACGTTCATCATCACCCCATTAACTATATAAAAAATATAAGGTACAAAATGACCAAACAATAGGAGATGGACTGTATTATATGTCCATAAAATAGTAAAGTATGCAGTTATTAAAAATCATGTTGATGACACTGTCAACAAGGACAACTCGTATGTTATAATTTTAATGAAGAAAAAAGCAACAGTCAAATTTGTAAATATAGTTTCACACAACTATACTTAAAAATCTACAGAGACAAAAAGATTGGAGGGAAATAAACTAAAATTGTTACCAGAGAGTGATAAGCCATAACTTTTTCCTCTACTTTACAATTATCAGTGTTTTCCAGTACTTTCACAATGTACATATTACTTTTCTAGTCAGAAAATTATTAACCAAAATTAAATTTCATAATAGGTATTCCCATCCGAACAACCTTGGACAACTCAACAACTGTTCAATATGCAGGCCTTCTTCATCACCTGACAATGAAAGCCAAAAGCACAGTTCGTGACATTGATCCTCAGAACGACCTGACTTTTCTTAGGATCAGATCAAAGAAACATGAAATCATGGTGGCTCCAGGTAATTTGGCATTTCATTTCCTAGTTAAATCATCTTTCTACTTTGCTAGATAAAAAGCCTTGTTTCTATGAATGGGAAGTATAGATTTTAGTATGCAATATAAAACATAATATTCTTCTATTACAAAATGATGTTTGAATGTAAAAATCCCAACCTAAAAATTCTATGAAATTAGCAATTAATATGACCCCATGACTTTAGAACAGCTTGAATTTTGCCCACTTGCATTTATTATTACTAATGGAAAAATTTAGAAAATGTAGGTCTCATTTTCAGCAAACTTAGCATACAGACTCTGCAGAATGGGAGAAATGTTCCCTGTCCTGCAGATAAAGTAGGCAGTGAACCCAAGGCCTGTAGGTTCTTAAACCCTCCCTATGAGGAAAGTACATCTCCCAGGTCTACCAGAAGAGCAGCCACAGAAACACTCCTTTCCCTGAAGGAATTAGGTTCACAATGTTACAAAATGACTGTACCATGGGACCTATGCCACTAAACTAATCTAGAACAAACCTCTATAGTAAATCCATCAAATCAGAATTGCCTATAAACTAAATGAAGTTTTTTCTACACCAGTGTCCTCACCCTGGCAACACATTAAATCACTTGGAGGACTTTTAAAAATTTTTTCCATTCCTGCAACTCCACCCCAAACCAATGAAATCAGAATCTCTGAGGCCCTAGGAAATGGGTATTTTCTAAAGGCTCAACAGGTGATTCTGATGTGCAGCCAGGGTGGGAAACCATCTGTCTACACAAGGTCCATGTGATGTTTTGAAGAGAACAGCAGTCTAGTTGAAATATTCCTTGATTAAATTTAAATTAAGGGTGAATTGATTTTGTCCATCTCTCCATAGATAAGGAATATCTTCTGATCGTCATTCAGAATCCATGTGAATAGACCTGCGATGGCCAAGGCTGTCTAAGCGACACTGGGTTAGAAACACTTGGCTCTCTCGTGATTATTAAAATTCTATTTCAATCTAACTGACCCTTCAAACATTCTTTTCTATTTCTACATCTAAACTGTTCTGCATGTCTCATTTAGTCCCTTTTGATTATATTGTGAAGTTGTACTTTAGTGATACAATAAATGAATTCTGGTATATACGTCTCTATTGTCTTATAATACACAAAACCAAGGATTCTAATAAGACAGTGCTCCTTGTGACAATTCTTTTAGTCTAGAAGTAGCTGTCACCAAGTACAGAAGTAGAATTTCACCCATTTCTGTGGTAGACCAAGGAGATTCAGTAGAGCATTGTGGGAGCTATACGGAGAATAGAAAGTCCCAGTACTCAAAGAGTATTCAATGGTTTCCCAGGTTAAATAAGGACAGCAGGGAGTCAGAAGCATGGTTGCCACTGGGGCCAGTGCCAACCTAAGAAGCTCCTCCATCCCTCGTACTTGTGCTTCTAGCACACCAGTCTGAGGGGGCCAGGAATGAGTCTTAGGCAAGGTTTCATACATATAAGGCTGAGTATATAACTCCAGAGGGTTTGATTTTTACTGGATGTTGCAAACATTCAGAAAATCATGAAAATAATAACAACAAATCTAACAGATTTCTATGCACCCCAAACCCACAAAGAAGAGATGTTAACATTTTGCCACATTTGCTTTATATCCTCTTTTTTTCCAACTAAACTTTGCATTTTGAGATAACTGAAGTTTCATGTGAAATTCTTAGAAATAATATAGTGATTCTGTGTGCCCTTTATACAGTTTCCCCCTGTAGCAACATCCTCCAAAACCCTAGGACAGTATCACAACCAGGAAATTGATAGTGACTCAGTCAAGACACAGAATATTTGCATCCCTGGCAGGATTCCTCAGATGCCCTTTGGTAGCACCTCCCTCCAACCCTTGACCCCTGACAGCCACTAAGCTGTCCTCCATTGATATAATTTTTTAATATCAAAAATGTTATGTAGGCCAGGCACGGTGGCTCCCACCTGTAATCTCAGCATTTTGGGAGGCCGAGGCAAGCAGATCACCTGAGGTCAGGAGTTCGAGACCAGCCTGGCCAACATGGTGAAACCCCATCTCAACTAAAAGTACAAAAACTAGCCAGGCATGGTGGCACATGCCTGTAATCCCAGCTACTCGGGAGGCTGAGGCAGGAGAATAATTTGAACCTGGGAGGTGGAGGTTGCAGTGAGCCAAGATTGCACCACTTCACTCCAGCCTGAGCTACAACAGAGTTAGACTCTGTCTAAAGAAAAAAAAAAAAAAGTAAGCGGAATAAATACAATATGTAACCTTTAGGGATTGACTTTTTCCCTCTGCATCATTCTCTTGAGATTCATCCAAAAAATAAGAAATGAAACATTACAGCTACAGCTGAAGCCTGCTCCTCCTCCTTGGGCCTCTGTCCTCCTTCCCCAGAAGATTCTTGTCAGGAGGCACAGGTTACCCAACGCAAGCATCCGCAGGTACTTTCACCTAAGTTCCTGCCACAGCTCCACATGAAGCCAAGTGTGAGAATGATGCCTGGTAAGTTTATTAGTGCAGCCACACCACTGGCCCCAGTTTGCACCCTGTGAGACTATCATAGCCAACCCTGACAGACGGTGGTATCAGCAGAAAGGAAGAGCCACACCAAATCCCTAAGGTTAAAGGGATTTACTCTCCCAAGTGGTGATGGGAGAGGAGACAGGTCATGGATGAAACTCACCCAAGGCTGAGGGAGACAAGGGGGACTGAAGCCAAACAGCCAAATCTTTGCATGCAACAGATGTCGGAGCCCCACTGCATAACTCAGTACTCCTGGGAGCAGGGCCTGCACATGTCAGTTTTGCAAATGTTCTCCAGGTAGTTGCAATGCAGCTGCAGGCTGAGACATGCTGAGTCGTGGTCAGGAATGAAGGTTTTAGAGTCATTGGCCCTAGATTCTTCAAATTCTGGCTCTGCTGCTTGTCAACATTAGGAGCCTCATCGCCTCATTTATAAAACAGGGTGATAAGAAAACCTAACCAAGGCTTGTTTATGAGAATCAGGTGAGCTGATACAGATAAAATGCCTAGCACACAGTGAATATTCAACAAATACTTGCTTTTGCCGACATTGTTGCCACCACTCAAAAATGGCTCTTATTTGGGTAGTGTGGAGGAGTAGCCCAAGACACATACAAACGAGTTTTAGGGACAACTCTGCACATCATCAAGCCACACAATTATAAGGAGGTTGCTGACTCTGTCTGCAGAGAGAACAGAGCAAATAAGGAAATGAGCCCAAAGTATAACAGGTGTGTGTCCGCCTTAACCTGTGGGATGAATAAACCCAGAAGGATTGTAGGATAGGGAAGCTACGCTATGGCACATAGCTGACTTTGGGGCCACTTTCCCACACTTTTTATTTTAAAAGACTTCAGACTTATGGAAGATTAGAAAGAATAGCACAAGGAACAGCATACAAGCTTCACCTACATTCAACAACTGTTAATATTTTATGATATTTGTTTCATCTCTATAAGTACATATTATAGATATAGATATATATGCACACACACATAGCATATAAAAGCTGCATATACTATAATAGCAGGTATTTCTCCAAAATTAAAGAATCCTCTTAATAACCACCACACCAGTTTCATACTTAAGAAATTTAATATTAATGCAATAATATCACATAATATGCAATCATATTCAAACTGGCACAGTGGTCCCAATAATGTTCTTTACAGCTTTGTAAAAAAATCTAAGGGCCTATCAAGGATCACATGCTGCATTTGGTTGTCGTGTCTCTTTCATTTTTTAGCTGTTCTTAGAAACTTATTCTCCACTTCGCAACCTCTAGGTGGTATCCAATTTGTATTTGCTCTCCCTAGAGACCCCAGTGCCACCTGCCCCCCATTCCCCACAAGCCCCTCTGATTGGGCCCAGACACAGTCTGTAATGACAGGAAATGAAGCTGCAGAGCAGGTCTTCAACACAGGTGAGTGACTGCCTTCATCTCAACCTCTTCCTTCAGCCTAGTGAAGCCTGAGTAACATGGTACTCACTCAGCCCTGGACAGCTTCAGCATCTGCTAACAGTTTGCAACACAAACAAGGTCTTGCTAGAATCTAAATGACAAGAAAATACACTAGTGAAGGGGAATCCATTCTTTTTAGAGTCTCAAATTTTCACACCTAGAAAGAACCATAGAGATCATCTATCTGACCCTTTGGCTTTACAGGTGGGGATTTCACCTGAGCCTGGTGTCAGGTGTCTTTAAGACATCAGGTATGTGAACTTGTATTGGTCTGGCTGTACCTATCGAACTGGCACTTATGACATTATCAGGGGCTCATGCCCTTGTGAGATCCCTCCATACCATCCCCAAAAATTGTTTTTAGGAGGCACAGAATAGCTCATTTTAAAGTGTACCAGAGGTAACATTTGATTCTAATACCCAAATCTGTCTTCTTCCCATAGTTTCCTGCCCACCCAGAGCTTGTCATCAGATGCATGGCTGAGTGGTAAAGCCACTTCCTTCCTCCTGACACGGCCAGAAACTTCAAGCCCTATTTGCAACATAGCAGTGTGAAATCTCTGGCAGGTGCAGATGGCACGGCTGCAAGTGCCAGAACTCTATGTGGGCCTTAAGGGGAGGAAGACACTTCCATCCCACTGGGCAGGAAACTCACAGTAGTTGCATTTACAGGCCTGCCTGTACCTTTGCATCCAGAGGAAACTGTGAGGCTTTGTTGGGGCAGAGACTGTGGCAGCAAAAGGAAGAATTTGCCAGAGCCAGTTACAACAAAGGAGGATGTGATCTCGGGAAGTTTGCACCACACCTCTCTCCATTCTGGCACCTACAACTTGATATTCCTTCTTGGATTCATAACAGCATAGTTAATGACCTATATCTAAAAGATGGCTGGACCTATAGACTGAAGATTCACACCCATCCAAAACCATCAGCAAAGCTTTCAGTTCCTAGGGGAAATGAAAACCTGGGCTCATACAGTGCTCCCTCTTAGTCTAACTTGCTATAAATTTTACCTGAACAATAGAAGAGCTATTTGCAGAGTCTCTGGAGGAACAGATTCCAACCACAAATATTAATGATAATGAACCTGAAAAGACCAGCTTAATAAAATAGCTGAAAATGAATTTACACATCATTAGCATTATGAGCTCCCAAATCTTCATCTCTGAACGGCTGGACTATCCCAGTAGAGGATGGATGGGAACCCGCCTGGGTTTCCAGAGCAGTGCCTCCAGCAGACCCTCTGACTGGGTATGTTCTGGCTTTTGAAATACGTTACCTATTCTCTCCTAAAGCCAGAATTACTACAGACTAAGGGTGGACATTTTGTCTCCCCTCTTGGTCTTTGAAAAATTAGAATTATCTCCAATTTGTGTTTGATATGGGGCAAAATATTTCCACTCTTTTGATGTTAGAAAACAATGTAATGTCCTTGAAATGGAAACTATCACATGTGTAGGTGAATTGCGTATAGATATTCATTCAACCAATATTTTGTCTTATATTCTTTGCTGAAGAAAAAGACAAGAAAGGCCGGACGCAGTGTCTCATGCCTGTAATCCCAGCACTTTGGGAGGCTGAGGCAGATGGATCACCTGAGGTCAGGAGTTACCAGCCCTGCCAACATGGTGAAACCCCGTCTCTACTAAAAATACAAAAATTAGCTGGGTGTGGTGGCGGGCACCTAAAATCCCAGCTACTCGGGAGGCTGAGGCACGAGAATCGCTTGAACCCAGGAGGCAGAGGTTGCAGTGAACCATTGCACTCCAGCCTGGGCAACAAGAGCGAAACTCTGTCTCAAAACAAAACAAACAAACAAAAAGACAGGAAAACATGGATCATATGTGGGGGCATAACAGCTTTCAGAGAGGTATAACATCTTCAACGAGGGACTTACAAAGATAAGTTGGTCTCTGAAATCCTGAGAATCATGGGGCTAGATGACTCCTATAATACAAAAACATCTCTAATAATGGAAACTCAGGCATTCCCTGACAGTTTGGACTACATAAG